GGATTCCTATCAGTATTCAAGAGGAGTCAGGCATCGTCACTTTTTGAAGCAATGAACTCCGCGTGCCTCTCGAGGTGTCAGCGGGATGTGAGGCATTCCGTCAAAATGAGGCAGGGACCTAGGGCTTTCTCTAAGGTCTCCACAGGGGATTCAGACATCCCTTCATGTTGTGAGATGAAAGACGAGCCTGTATTCAAGCCACTGCAAGGAAATCTGGCCTCCTTTCAAGTTAGGGCTTCTCGCTGTATATTCCCCTTGAGGCAGCAAACTCGGGGTCCCTCCCACATACCTATTGCTGAGAGAAGCCTCCTCCTGAGGTGCTTCTGGGAAGTTGGCATACGTCTTGAGCCTAAGCCAGGGAATCAGCTCGCATCTCGAGACGATTTGGGGTACACGGAGCATTCCTCGAGTTGCTGTGCTGAAGTTGGTGTTCCTCTAGACTTGGGACAGTGTTCTCGGGGCATCTCTGGAGTTGCCTGAAGGAAGTCGAGCCACCGGTCGTGTTGAATGGGGAACGGGGAATGGCTCTGGAGTCAATGCAGGGGAATCGGGCCTCATCTCGAGTTGATTTGGGGCACATGGAGCTGCTTTGCGTTGCTGGGGTGACCTCAGGGTCCGTCTAGACTGGTGACAGTGTTCTTGGGGACTGTCTCGAGATCCATTAAGCAAGTCGAAGCTCCTGACTTGTTTGAATGGGGTCACGGAATAGCTCTGCATGCACTGCAGGGGAATGGGGCCTCATCTCGCCTCTAGGGGGAAGTCTCATGGTTTTTCTCGAGTTGCGGCGGGGACCTGGGGTATGTTCTCGACTTACGGCGGGGATGGCCCTTCAAAACACGAGTTTCTTCAGTGACGTCAGGACTCCTGTCTAGTAACGAGGGACACCTCAGGAATCTCTTCGAGGCTTGGCAGGGCCAAAGGGACGCTTCTCGAGGTGAGGCAGGGCACCCAAGGACCCTTTCCAGTAGCCACAGGGATTTTGGGATTCCTATCAGTATTCAAGAGGAGTCAGGCATCGTCACCTTTTGAAGCAATGAACTCCGCGTGCCTCTCGAGGTGTCAGCGGGATGTGAGGCATTCCGTCAAAATGAGGCAGGGACCTAGGGCTTTCTCTAAGGTCTCCACAGGGGATTCAGACATCCCTTCATGTTGTGAGATGAAAGACGAGCCTGTATTCAAGCCACTGCAAGGAAATGCGGTCTCCTTTCAAGTCAGGGCTTCTCGCTGTATATTCCCCTTGAGGCAGCAAACTCGGGGTCCCTCCCACATACCTATTGCTGAGAGAAGCCTCCTCCTGAGGTGCTTCTGGGAAGTTGGCATACGTCTTGAGCCTAAGCCAGGGAATCAGCTCGCATCTCGAGACGATTTGGGGTACACGGAGCATTCCTCGAGTTGCTGTGCTGAAGTTGGTGCTCCTCTAGACTTGGGACAGTGTTCTCGGGGCATCTCTGGAGTTGCCTGAAGGAAGTCGAGCCACCGGTCGTGTTGAATGGGGAACGGGGAATGGCTCTGGAGTCAATGCAGGGGAATCGGGCCTCATCTCGAGTTGATTTGGGGCACATGGAGCTGCTTTGCGTTGCTGGGGTGACCTCAGGGTCCGTCTAGACTGGTGACAGTGTTCTTGGGGACTGTCTCGAGATCCATTAAGCAAGTCGAAGCTCCTGACTTGTTTGAATGGGGTCACGGAATAGCTCTGCATGCACTGCAGGGGAATGGGGCCTCATCTCGCCTCTAGGGGGAAGTCTCATGGTTTTTCTCGAGTTGCGGCGGGGACCTGGGGTATGTTCTCGACTTAAGGCGGGGATGGCCCTTCAAAACACGAGTTTCTTCAGTGACGTCAGGACTCCTGTCTAGTAACGAGGGACACCTCAGGAATCTCTTCGAGGCTTGGCAGGGCCAAAGGGACGCTTCTCGAGGTGAGGCAGGGCACCCAAGTACCCTTTCCAGTAGTCACAGGGATTTTGGGATTCCTATCAGTATTCAAGAGGAGTCAGGCATCGTCACCTTTTGAAGCAATGAACTCCGCGTGCCTCTCGAGGTGTCAGCGGGATGTGAGGCATTCCGTCAAAATGAGGCAGGGACCTAGGGCTTTCTCTAAGGTCTCCACAGGGGATTCAGACATCCCTTCATGTTGTGAGATGAAAGAGGAGCCTGTATTCAAGCCACTGCAAGGAAATCCGGCCTCCTTTCAAGTTAGGGCTTCTCGCTGTATATTCCCCTTGAGGCAGCAAACTCGGGGTCCCTCCCACATACCTATTGCTGAGAGAAGCCTCCTCCTGAGGTGCTTCTGGGAAGTTGGCATACGTCTTGAGCCTAAGCCAGGGAATCAGCTCGCATCTCGAGAGGATTTGGGGTACACGGAGCATTCCTCGAGTTGCTGTGCTGAAGTTGGTGTTCCTCTAGACTTGGGACAGTGTTCTCGGGGCATCTCTGGAGTTGCCTGAAGGAAGTCGAGCCACCGGTCGTGTTGAATGGGGAACGGGGAATGGCTCTGGAGTCAATGCAGGGGAATCGGGCCTCATCTCGAGTTGATTTGGGGCACATGGAGCTGCTTTGCATTGCTGGGGTGACCTCAGGGTCCGTCTAGACTGGTGACAGTGTTCTTGGGGACTGTCTCGAGATCCATTAAGCAAGTCGAAGCTCCTGACTTGTTTGAATGGGATCACGGAATAGCTCTGCATGCACTGCAGGGGAATGGGGCCTCATCTCGCCTCTAGGGGGAAGTCTCATGGTTTTTCTCGAGTTGCGGCGGGGACCTGGAGTATGTTCTCGACTTACGGCGGGGATGGCCTTTCAAAACACGAGTTTCTTCAGTGACGTCAGGACTCCTGTCTAGTAACGAGGGACACCTCAGGAATCTCTTCGAGGCTTGGCAGGGCCAAAGGGACGCTTCTCGAGGTGAGGCAGGGCACCCAAGGACCCTTTCCAGTAGCCACAGGGATTTTGGGATTCCTATCAGTATTCAAGAGGAGTCAGGCATCGTCACCTTTTGAAGCAATGAACTCCGCGTGCCTCTCGAGGTGTCAGCGGGATGTGAGGCATTCCGTCAAAATGAGGCAGGGACCTAGGGCTTTCTCTAAGGTCTCCACAGGGGATTCAGACATCCCTTCATGTTGTGAGATGAAAGACGAGCCTGTATTCAAGCCACTGCAAGGAAATCTGGCCTCCTTTCAAGTTAGGGCTTCTCGCTGTATATTCCCCTTGAGGCAGCAATTCGGGGTCCCTCCCACATACCTATTGCTGAGAGAAGCCTCCTCCTGAGGTGCTTCTGGGAAGTTGGCATACGTCTTGAGCCTAAGCCAGGGAATCAGCTCGCATCTCGAGACGATTTGGGGTACACGGAGCATTCCTCGAGTTGCTGTGCTGAAGTTGGTGTTCCTCTAGACTTGGGACAGTGTTCTCGGGGCATCTCTGGAGTTGCCTGAAGGAAGTCGAGCCACCGGTCGTGTTGAATGGGGAACGGGGAATGGCTCTGGAGTCAATGCAGGGGAATCGGGCCTCATCTCGAGTTGATTTGGGGCACATGGAGCTGCTTTGCGTTGCTGGGGTGACCTCAGGGTCCGTCTAGACTGGTGACAGTGTTCTTGGGGACTGTCTCGAGATCCATTAAGCAAGTCGAAGCTCCTGACTTGTTTGAATGGGGTCACGGAATAGCTCTGCATGCACTGCAGGGGAATGGGGCCTCATCTCGCCTCTAGGGGGAAGTCTCATGGTTTTTCTCGAGTTGCGGCGGGGACCTGGGGTATGTTCTCGACTTACGGCGGGGATGGCCCTTCAAAACACGAGTTTCTTCAGTGACGTCAGGACTCCTGTCTAGTAACGAGGGACACCTCAGGAATCTCTTCGAGGCTTGGCAGGGCCAAAGGGACGCTTCTCGAGGTGAGGCAGGGCACCCAAGGACCCTTTCCAGTAGCCACAGGGATTTTGGGATTCCTATCAGTATTCAAGAGGAGTCAGGCATCGTCACCTTTTGAAGCAATGAACTCCGCGTGCCTCTCGAGGTGTCAGCGGGATGTGAGGCATTCCGTCAAAATGAGGCAGGGACCTAGGGCTTTCTCTAAGGTCTCCACAGGGGATTCAGACATCCCTTCATGTTGTGAGATGAAAGACGAGCCTGTATTCAAGCCACTGCAAGGAAATCTGG